GCTGACATCTTTTATAGTGGCAGAGCGCTGCTTGTGTTCTGACACTTTTGCTGCAGGATGTTGTTTACTTGTGTTGTGTAGATTGCATCTTTTTTTTTTTTGTGTCTTACTCGTTTCTGTGTGTGTGGATCCAGGACGAGATGCTCTTCTGCGACTCCTGTGACAGGGGTTTCCATATGGAGTGTTGTGACCCACCGCTCTCCAGAATGCCAAAAGGTACATTAGGCTTTTGTTTGCCTCTGTGGATTTTTCCATTCTGAAGGTGAAGCTGTTAAATGTGCCATTACACACAAAGGCTTCTGGTTACATAATAGTAAGATGATATGTAGCTTGCATCCTGAACTATTTAGTGTCTCTCTCTCTCTCTCTCTCTCTCTCTTTCCAGTCTCTTTCTCGTTGTCAATGATTTCGCCTCTGGCTTGCAAATGACTGTGCTTGTCCTTTTCAGTTAATGGCAGTTTGTCTGAAATGGGCATGTAAGTGCCAAGATAAAAAGGGAGCAGCATCATAAAGTGTTTCAATACAGCAGAACAGGTTCATTTCACTTAATTTTACAAGAGCCTTCAGTGCTGAATGTCTGAAACTGCTGGAGGGAGGTGACATTCTGCCATGAGATATCCCGTCAAATTTAATTTGGGTTTTGTTATGGGAGAAATGCAAATGCTTTAACTAAAACTTATATGTTAAGGATGTCAATTTAACACATTAAATTAGTGTGATTAATTATAGCAAAAATAACACGGTTAATCATAGCAAGAGACACTAACAGAAAAGCGAGACCAAAGACGTCTGTCTGCATTTCTGCTATAAGAACGCTTCCAGTGTGAATGGCCCTGTGGGACTTTGCGACAGTCTACTGCAGACACAATGACAAACTTTTATTAATGTGACTGCAAATTATATTCACGTGGATTGTTGTTCAGCAATAGATGTTTTTAATGATATGGAAAAAGCCAAACAGCATATGACTAAGACAAGTAGACTAATTATTTGAGGCCTGATATTAGAAAAAGTGTCTGAGAATTGAGGCTGTGTTTTTCTTGTTTTCTCAATATAAAATTTGTCGAGTTTCATTTATTCTCTTTATATCAAGATCACGAGAATACAGAAAATGTATAATGCTTAGCCTCTGTCAGCTTCTGTATCTTTATTCATTTTTGCAATTCCATTTGGTCGCCACTATGAAATAGCTCTCTGTTGTAGGACGTGATGCTTATCTTGTGAATCAGTTCCACGTATTTCTGCACAAGATATCTGAGAGCTTCAGTTCTACACTGAACATCAGTGCAAATTTAGCTTTAATTAGTTGTGTGAAATCTAATAAACTAAAGGTCTAATCATTCAATTTGTGTTCATTTGTTATTTTCCTCTCTAAAGAGGATGAGAAGGCTGAAGCCATGTCAGGAAAAGAGCACCCCACACAACTTCAAAGCCATTTATTCAGTGCTTCCTTGTTGGTATGTTACCTGTAGAAAGCTTGTTTTTCTCTGCTCTGTTTCTTTTCTTCTAAAGACAGTGGAAATGAAGGAAAAGGCACAAAGGGTCATCTCTGCTCAGTACTTCAAAGACATATCTGAAAAGTGTCACGGCTGCAGACATGATGAACCATCCTTGAAATGCTTTTCTTTTTGTCTCTTTCTCTCTCTCTCTCTCACTCTTTCTCTCTCTCTCTCTCTCTCTCTCTCTCTCTTTTCCCTGGACCTCCCACAGGAATGTGGATCTGCCAAGTATGCAGGCCAAAGGAGCAGGAGGGAAAACGGTTGCTACACAAGGCAGCGGCCCAGATCAAAAGGCGATATGCAAAGCCAGGAAGGCCAAGAAAAAATCTAGCACATCCAACAGTGTACGATAACTCATTTCATCTATCTTGTTCATTATGCTTCAGGCTTAAGGTTACAGGTCTCACAATCAGTATGTTGCCTAAACTGTAAATGCTCTTTTTTTGATGGCCTACTCTGATTTTTGTCCTTCACAACCTTGCCTTGAGAGTATATGTAGGTTTCATACCCTCTCATCCAAAAGGTTTAAAATTAGCGTGGCTGCTACAATGCAAGCACCTTTATACCCACCACAGACGGCATGAGTCTCACTGACTCCCTCACATCCACACCCACCCTCACTACGCTGCCCCCAATCAACAAGAAAACCAAAGGTCTCATTGACGGGCTTTCCAAATTTTTCACGCCATCGCCCTTGGGTCGCCGGTTGCGTGGTGAGGTGTCAGGCTCCTCGAAACAGCACAGGCCGAGGAAACGGGGCTATCGGAAATGCCATGGCAGCGTGACGATGCCAGGTGTGAGGTTAAACGCCCCGTCTAGCGTTCTCCTTACCCCGTCCCCTTCACAAGGACACAGCCCCATCTCGCTGAACCCCACCCAGTCGTCCTCGCCCTCCTCCGCCCACTCCCCCCACAGCTCCTCCTCCCAGTCTAGTAGTGTGTTGGCCAGCAATGTTGATATGAGCCTTTCCTATCTGCCTTCCTTTCCATGACTGTAGTGATTTGCATGCTAGCAGTTGTGATTTTGAATGCGTGCTATCGAGTCGAAGTTAGTTAGTGCTTGTTTATGATAGCTTTGGGTTTTGTTGTGTCAGCATCTTTTCAGTTCTTTTGTGCTATATTCTGCAAATAATTACTTTTAAAGGTCCTTTTTTCTGACCTCTCACAGCCTTTAATGCCGAGAGATGCTCAAGAAGAGAACCACAGGAAGGAAGGATGACTTCACTCAATGACCACGTGGCTGAAGAAGATCTGAAATTGTTCAGACGCATCAAGGAGATCACAGCAAAGGTATGGAGAGTAAACCACCCATTATCAACAGAAGAGAAGGTTTAAGAGCTAAATAAAAAGCTTGATAGTTGAAGAAATTAAGACCTAAATATTGCTACTGTAATTTTACAGTTGTACTGTAAAATATTAATAAAATAATAAAAAATGATCTTTTTCTTAAACATTTTACAGTGGTAATTTGCAATAGTAATATTGCATTTTTATTATTGTTATTATTCCCTCCTAAAAGTCAAAAGACCAGACTGGGAGACCAGTTAATAGGGTAGCACAACCCTATTAACTGGTCTCCCAGTCTGGTCTTTTGACTGGTTTTGGGAATTTCTCTTACTGAGAGACCAGCATAAGTCACCTTAGACCAGCAAACCAGCTTAGCCTGGTTTAAGTGAGCTTTATTAGAGCATCTGGACACAACCCTTGGCAAACACCTTAGCATTGTGGCTGTAATATAAAAATCTAATTCTTTTAAGTATTTTAATTCTGTTTCTAACTTGTGATTTATTTCAAAAACAGAAAGCTGGTGGCGATCAAGGACAATCCCCTCCTTTGATTGAGTTTGGAAAATATGAAATACAAACTTGGTATTCCTCACCATACCCTCCAGAATACTCCAGGTAAGTCTGAAATTAATTCAGAAACATTTTTACAAGCAAATGTAAACTAGTATGTGATTTTAGAGTTTCTCTCTGCTCTTGTTAGTTATGCCACATTCTTCGTTATAATTAATTGCTGCTCACCTCCTCAGATTACCGAAGCTTTATCTCTGCGAGTTCTGCTTAAAGTACATGAAAAGCCAAGACATTCTGCAGAGGCATTCAAAGAAATGTGGGTGGTTTCACCCGCCAGCTAATGAGATCTACAGGAAGGATAACCTCTCTGTGTTTGAGGTCAGTGCTTGCTCTTAAATCTTGCACCAGGGGCACATGCACAACTTAATTCGCATCCTAATTTATCATCTGCATTTGCAGTTAAAACAAGAGGGGGTTATGTCCAGAGATTAAAGGCTATGAAGTGCCAAGCTTGTCGAAAGACACATCTCCGCATCATGGATGAGAACTGGACTTGCATGAATTAATCATGTCAGATTAAGCCAATTCTTTAAGGATCTTATTTGTCTAGTGAACAGGAAATGCATACATTTTAGCAGGCCTCCAAAAGTGTTAAAGACCTTTCATTGCACTCCGTTTATGAGTTGTGATCTTCACAGGTGCTCCACTAGCAGGAGCTGCCCTTGTATGGCATACCTGACTCTTAACTGTTTCTCATTTTGTCATCTTTGCTCAGGTTGATGGAAATATCAGCAAAATTTTCTGCCAAAACCTTTGTTTGCTTGCAAAACTTTTTCTGGATCACAAGACTTTGTATTACGATGTGGAGCCTTTTCTCTTCTACGTTCTAACACAGAACAATGAGAAGGGTTGTCATCTTGTTGGATACTTCTCAAAGGTATTACAACCCTTAAATATATCTAATCCTATGACAGTTGAGTAAGAGTAACAGCGGGTTATCTAGTGGGTTGCTAAAGATAGCATTTCTTGTACGGTGCTCGTTTTTGCATCTGAACCTTTTCTGCAATATGTTTGAATGGTTTTGTGTGGTTGTTTGGTTCAGGTCAGGACAACGGCAGGTGCAGTGAATTGCTAATGCGTTGGCAGTGCGCTGACACACTCTATCTTTCTTTCTCTCTTTCTCTCCCACAGGAAAAGCTTTGCCAGCAGAAGTACAATGTCTCCTGCATAATGATATTGCCTCAGTACCAAAGGCAAGGATTTGGGAGGTTCCTCATTGATTTCAGTAAGTTATTCATTAACTGGTTTGGAAGTCTTATGAGATGTGAGCATAAGATTGTTTGTATCATTAACAGATGCTTCTGTGCTCTGCATGAAAGCAACAAGAGGATCTGTTTCAGACTAGACAGTCTTGATGGAAAGACTGCCTGTTTCCTTGTACTGAGTACTGGATTTGAATGTCCTTATGTACAGTTGAATGTAGAATGTAGTGCATGGTATAATTTGTTTGCTTGTGAATGTTTTGATTTGCTCGCTGTGTGGAATCAGAAGAACATTTGCATACTTTGTGTTAATGCAAAAGTCTAAAATACTTGGATCTAACTCTGACTTTGCTTAGAGCAAGATCAGCTCAAACTTTAACCAATCAAAAACCAGACCAAATATTTTCTTTATGTAAATTAATAACCCTTATGAGTTTAAAATTGAAATTACATATTTATAAACGTGTGTGTGTGTGTGCGTGCGCTCATGTACAGTTAGTGGTTATCTGTCACTGGACTGGACTGTTTTTTTTTGTCTTAAAATATTGTACTGTAATATTGCTTTTTTTTTTACGTAACTGACATCACAAGAATCGAGACAAGTCTTTAGCCATTAGAATCAAAACCACAATCGTTAAATTCCTTACATATAACTGTTTGGCTTTGATGAGAAACTCGCTTTGGTTATATGTAAAATATAATTCAATTCAAACTTGTGAAATGTGCCTCAAGACCTTAAAAAGCTGCACATAAACATTACTCGATGTCTTCATAAATTGTGATTGAGCTGTTTTATGTTTTGTCAAAGTGGCACTCAAACCCGATCTGACAACAATACTCATAAACAATCTTTCCTCGTCTCCTCTCTTTCTTTCTTTTCCTGTCTTTCCAGGTTACTTACTTTCCAGGCTAGAGGGCCAGGCTGGCTCCCCAGAGAAGCCTCTATCTGATCTGGGTCGTCTGTCCTACTTGGCTTATTGGAAAAGTGTCATACTGGAGTACCTGCACAACCACCCAGATAAGAGTGTCAGCATCAGGGGAATGAGCCGAGCCACGAGCATGTGTCCACATGACATCGCTACCACACTTCAGCAGCTCAACATGATTGATTTCCAGGATGGCAGGTGGGTTTGAGTGTGGTGGTATCTGTCAATCTGCCAATTCACTCGCATGCTTTCAGTACACTGCATCATCTCTAAAGACAATACTACATTCCGGGGGGGGGGGACAGTATGGCTATATTTGCATGTACATCAATAGCAAATTACAATTTCTGTTTTTAATATTTTCTAACATGTTTGTCTAGGTTTGTAATCATTCGAAGGCATCAGCTGATTGAGGAGCATATGGATAGACTGAGAATGAAGCCACGGCTTCATGAGGTTGAACCTGACTGCCTGAGCTGGACTCCAGTTTCAGTCTGCAGAAGCCCTCCAGGGGAGCTGAAGAGTGCTATAGCACAGGTAGGCTTAAAGGTCTATTCATGATTCGATCAGGGACTGAACACACCTGATTTTAGTGAACACAGTTTTTATTTGTTTGTCTGTCCAAGTACAGAGTGCTCTAACACTTAAAGCTAAACGATCAAGGATTTCTTGTTAAATAAAATCAGGCTTCTGTCATTCTTCCCTCTGTTGACTTCATGTCCACAAACAAAGAAAAGATCTATGGCAGCTCAGGTTTCTTTTTGTTTTGAAAGACTTTCAGTGATCACGTTGTTGTGGTAATCACCCACAGGTATACCTATAATGTTTCAAATGTCAAAAAAGCCCCCAGAAGTATGCATTGTACCTTAATGTTGCTAAATTCATAGAGGGTGAACCCTCTGCAACCTTTATATAAATATACAAGAAACATCTAGGTGGTTTTCCTGGCATATACAGAGACTTGATCAGTATGTTCCACAGGGTGACTTGAAGTCCAGTTTATAATTACATCTGTCTCGCATCAAATTACTATGTTCTGTATGCATTGTTAATGTTTGCCGCAGATAATGCTGTGGAAACAGCAGATTTTGTAAAATGCCCCGTTATTGTTTCCTTTTGGCCTCTGACACAGCCTGACTCTTTTTGCATAATGCTGAACTCGACCATAATTGGTAAGATGATCAAAGGCTGTTCTGGTGGCTGAGTCTAAAATCAGAGCTTATGTTCTTAATTCAAACCTATTCAATAGGCAGATCATGGCGATTACAATGAGCGCAGGTCACTCATTCCTTCCTTGGCTCTGCATTATTAGCTACAAGATGATGCTTGCATGAAAAGTGAGCTAAATTTATCCCATCGTTTGCCTTTCAGGAGTTCAGGGTGAGTTCACAGAGATAGCTGAAAGCACTTTCGACAGTAACCCAGCTTCCTAAGTGACCTAAATCAAAGCCCTGTATTATTAATGTCTCTGAATGTCCCATGAAATGTAATCTTCCACAGCCGCTTAAAAATAAATGTTGCTGAGATCAACGACTAATCAAGAGACAATCTCTGCACTGCAGGGGCGCTGCGGAAGCAAAACGGATAACTGAGATGTTATTTGTCTGCTTGGCTTTAGCCTGTACAGAGCGGCTCAGACAAGCTCATGTTTGTGTTTTTGTGGCGCAACAGGCAGGAGACCGTCGTGCAGGCTGTAGTGCATCGACCAGGAATTTGGCAACGGGGATGGGCTACACTAGCACAAGACCTCCACTAACCAAGTGCAAGAACTTCAGCAGAAGATACTCAGACCCACTGTTTGCCAACAGCGCTGGGAAAGAGTTCGAAGTGAGCAAAGAAAGCAGCAGTGATGACGATGATGATGATGACGACGATGATGATGGTGAAGACAGTGCAATCAAATCCCAGTCTGGGCAGGGGCTCAAGCGAAAGGTAAACATCAGAATAAATGGTAGTGCATGTCTGTATTTCTCTGTGTATCATCATTGTTCACATTGAATTTCCCTCATCATTTGGGAGGCGTATATATTTAGTTGGATGGAAATGGATCCAAAACTATCCATTAGTCAGACATTTCCAATGTTACATTTCCAACAGACAGGTCCATAATTAAGTAATATTGCTTTTGTGATTTGTGTGGGAAATCTTGGTTCTGTATCACCAAGTAATGCTGCAGATTATTTGCATTGGGGTACTGCTATCCCAGAATGCCTGGGGGAGAGTATGTTGTGAGGAACTTGCGGTCAGCTTGATTCTGAACTCTCTCATTTGGGGTTTTGGGCAGGTTAAGCTTTCCAAATGAATGGCCTGTGGTGTAGGCACTGTGGTCTAAATGATGGGCTTTTGCATTTAGATCATGAAGCAACCCATTCACAACGCAGCCACATTTCCCTATGTTTAGCATCACCCTTGACCGTATCTGTCTCCTCCAAACCTCTGCTTTTTGGATTAAAGGGCACCAGGGACAGTTCGACAAAAATGTGGCCAACTCTTGCTATGACAGTTGTTAAGTCTAACAGTCTTTGACATCTCCCTCTATTTATTCCATTCGCAAGCACAAGTTGTTCTCAAGCATGCAATATGCACCTCTCTGTTAAGTGAATAGCCCCCTTAAATGTGTCGAGTTTTTTTTTTCTTAGCGGGCTCCAACTCTGCGACGGAAGAGAGGGCGAAGGAGAACACGAATCAACAGCAGTGTCACGACCGAGACCATCTCAGAGAGAACAGAGGTGCTAGATGAGCCATTCGAAAACTCTGATGTAGAAAGCCCTCTGCCACAGCCCAGCAGGAGGGGTGGCAGCGAAGATGAGGAAGAGGAGAAGAGCCAGAGATTAGCCATGCGTCGGCCTGGAAGACCAAGGAGATATGAAGATGACAATCACTCAAATCAATCTAAAAAAGAAGGGAATGTGGAAGGTAAAGCCATACATGTTAATATTTACAACATACTGTTTTGTTGCATGTTTGAAAGATACATTTACATGGAACATCTTTTTTTGTGTTTCTGAAGCAGTGAAAAAGGACAATCCTCGACCTCTAAAACGGAAGAAAGGCTGGCCCAAAGGTGTCAAACGAGGCCCTCCCAAATGGAGACTAAAGGAGCGCAAAATGGGCTTTAAGCTCAACCTCTACACACCTCCTGAGACGCCAATGGTCACAGTGGAGCAGGAGCAGGAAGAGGAGCAGGATGCCAGCCCTGCCGCCTCCTCAGGACCATGCGAGTCCATTAGAGAGCCCAGACCAGAGGACCCAGAGCTGGACCCCTGCGATTCAGAGCCCCACAGTCCCGAGCCACCCGAGTCTCACAAAGCAAATGAGAATGAGCCGACAGACAAATCTGACACGGTAGAAAATTCACCCTGTGCTGATGAGACCAGTGAGACAAAATCAGGTCCAATAGATGATGCTGAAGAGTCAACTCAAAATACAGAGGAAGTCAAAGACCTGAAGCCAGAGGGTGAAGCAGAAGGCAGGGTTTGTAAGGGCTCAGGTGAACGAGATGAAGAAGAGGATGAGGAAGAAGAGCCAGAACCATCTCATGTGGACGATCATGATGCGGACGATGAAGATGACAGCCATGAGCAGAGAATAGACGACCCTGTGCAACTACCAGAAAAAGACCTTACGGAAGACCCAGAGCCAGTTCCAACTCCTAGTAATAACAATAAAAATCCTGACATTCAGCCGAGCCCTGTGGACCCACCGCCTCGTTGCTCAGAGGAGCTTGCGTTTGAAAGCACTCTCGTGAGCTTGGGCATGCAACAGGGTGACACTGTGGACTCGGATCACCCTCCAGACTCCGAAACCGAGGAAGAGGATAACAGTCAGAGGCCTGAAGAAAAGCATATGGGCCCACTGACCCCGGCAATAAAAGAGGACCATAACATTTGCCCTGAGCTTGACATGGAGACGGCCCAAGCAGTGCAGTCTCTGACTCAAGAGTCTGAGCAGGAGAGGCACTTTCAAGATTGCACGGAGACTCAGGAGGCCTGCCACAGCCTACAGCGGTATGTTCACGTTGAGCAGAGCCCTCAGATGACTCCCGTGGACGACTGCCAGCAGTCCGATCACAGCAGTCCTCTGTCTTCTGTCCATTCTCACCCGAGCCAATCTGTACGATCAGTCAACAGTCCAGTGGTGTCCATTTTAGAAAGTGGCTACACGCAGATCAGCCCCGGTCAGGGCACCGTCTCGGTGCACTCGCTTCATAACAACATGGAGACTAGCCCAATAATGGATGTGCCCTCGGTGTCGGACCACTCTCAGCAGGTGGTGGACAGTGGCTTCAGTGACCTAGGTAGCATCGAGAGCACCACGGAGAATTACGAGAATCCCAGCAGTTATGACTCCACGCTGGGTAACAGCATTTGTGGCACGGGAGCAGGAGCAGGCGCCTCCTCCCAGAGCAGCTGTTCCTATGGCAACCTCTCCTCCGGTGGCAGTCACAGTCAGAGCAGCTGTGCTGTGTCCCAGCAGATGGCTGGTCCTGTGGCGAACAATACTGGCGCATGCAGCATGCTCCAGCAAACCAGCATGAGCTCCCCTCAGGGATGCAGTGTTAAGTCTCCGCAAGGCTGTGTGCCGGAGAGGCAGCCCAGCCATCCGCACGGCCACGGGCATAGCCACAGTCACCACCACAGCCATCACCAGCACCATCCGCACCATCAACATCACCAACACCCACAACACCAGTACCAGCAGCCTCTGTCGCACTGCTCCATGCCGGCCAGCTTCCCTCCACCCATGCAGCTGCCCGACATCCCAGAGTCCAACAACCCATCCGGCAACCTGGGCCTGTATGACCGAATGGGCCAGGGAGAGTATGGAGGTGGACACTACGGTCAGCACTCAGCTACGTTCAGCCTGCATAAGCTACAACAGCTCACCAATACCATCATGGACCACTCCTTGCCCTTCAGCCATTCTGCCTCGCACTCCATCTCATCCTATGCAAACAACAACGGCTCGTTGTCCACGCAGCTCGGCCCTCACAATCCCGCGCTGGTGTCGCTGTCGCAACCTGGTGGAGGCCCTCAGTCGCAGGCTACCGTGACTCCTCCGCCCAACATGACTCCACCGCCCATGATGTTGCAGCGCAACATGGCTACACCCAACATGAACCTGGCCCAGTCTCAGAGACTGCAGACGCAAATGGCCCCCAAGAATCACCACCACCACCCCATGTCCATCCGCTCCAAATCGGCCCCTCTGCCGCCCCACCACCAGCAGCAGATGTACGGTAGGGGTCCTCAGACTGTGGCCATGCAGGCTCCCGGGAGGACGCTGGCTATGCCGCCGCGGATGAACATGGGGGTGAACCTCATGCCCGCTCCGGCTTACAATGTCAACTCGATGAACGTGAACGTCAATATGGCGATGAACACTTACAGAGTGACGCAGCCCATGATGAACGGGGGCTACCATGGCAATCCTACCTATATGAATCAATCTCCACAGTACTCTATGCAGATGGGCATGGTGGGTACTCAGCCTTACCCACAGCAGCCCATGCAGGCCCCTCCCCATGGCAATATGATGTACAGCCCAGCAGGTCATCATGGTTATGTGAACACTGGCATGTCCAAACAACCCTTAAACGGGCCTTACATGAGACGATAATCAACGACCTGAAAGTGAAGGGTCGTGACGTTGCAAAGTTAGCTAGTTGACTTGAGGTATTTAGTTTGTTCTTATTTTCATGGTTAATGTTCGCTTTTATGGATCTTTCTGAAAGAACCAGCACTTGGTAAGAATGCAAAAAAAAAAAAGTTTTGTTTATTGGCTAAATTTTAGCTTTTCTCCCCTGATTATGGGAAGCCTTACAGCGTAAGATTTAAAATGTAACATTTGTGTAAGCGTAAATCTCCCCCGAACTGCATTGCAGTTGAATGGAGGTTACATAGTTGGAACCTGCATTATGGAACCTTTAAATGTGCCTGCATTGTATGTTTTTTGGACAAAAGAGCCTTTTCAATGTACCTTTAGCAATCGCAAGGTTATATATGTAAGTCTGTACTCATGCCTTCATATTATTTAAATTATTGTAAATCTACTTTTATATTTTTTTAAATGTAAGGTTATACTTAGCATGCTATATAACGTCTTTGTTAGTGACAGTGCATCAAAGTAGTACTGTACAGTGTTGTGCTTAATAGCAAGCAATTTTATATTAAATGTATGGCCTTGGTTAGGTTTCCCTCGTACGGAAGGAAAAATGTAACTCTATTTTTGTTGATTCTAATACTGTAAAGATTTGAAAACATCGAAAATCATGTTCGGCTTGGAAGGTTCTATTGCTAATTGTGTATAATTTGTTACTTGATAAGTTTCTTTACCTGAGGCAGCTTTCTGTTTTTATACAATTTAAAGCAATTTCTGTCACAATAGCAAAGAACAGTCAATGTCAGTATTTGTACTTGTAGAAATCTAAATCGAAGGGGAAACGAAACCATTTCAAATGGGGCAGAGTTGCAAAATTATTATTATGAGTGTCAATTTACTCCAAAGTTGGTCTTTTATGAAATGCCTTTAAACTTACATTTTCATTCCATCTGTAGATTTTTTTTATCTTTATGAAACATCTGATTTATATTTTACTGAAATGTAGAGCAGTAGCCTTGTTGATAGACAAAACAGATGGCATGTAAAAAGGTAAATTGTATCGGTGTCTGTTTGTATAGCTTATTTTGTAGCCTTTGTACCTGTACAGAATGGCAGTTTGACGTAAGAAGGATATCCTGACTGTACTAATTAACAGAGCAACAGTCCTGTATTTATGAGTTACCTTTTTAGTCGGTCACTTAAATGCTGTACATTTTAGCAGAAAATAAATTATGATGAGCCACTGACAGACTTAAAAGTGTGTATGGACTCTGTTTTCATCTCATGCTTATCCAGACTCGTACTTTCTTTCTTGAATGGATCTATTACAGCCAACAGATTTTCGAACGCGTTATGGTTGGAAACAATCTTGTAGAGTGCAGGGACTACTGAATAGACAAACGGATGCTTTTGAGTGTAGAGGATGGATACATTTAGCTGGAAAACACTAACATGTATCTAATGCAACAGCACAGCGGCCTTGGCAATAAAAATGAACCTGACTACAAATATTAAGTATAGTGTGCTCGAGCCAAAGGAAGTACCTTTATTTTTTAGACCATATAATCCTGCGTTACAAACATTACAAATCAGTAAATATGAGCTGGATGTGTGTCAAAGAAATTTCATATTTCCTTATGCTTTATCTGTAAACCTTTAACCATTCCTTAAATGATGAACTAATCGACTTTAATCCAAATGGTCTAAACTAATGTACAGAGATCAAACCATTTTTAGGATAATCCAATTAAATTCCAGTTCATCTTCCATTTTCCAATGGGTTTACACACATAAGAATGTATCTGTCACTGATATTAGTGCCGACTTCATAGGTCAGCGCTAATAATCCAACAAGAGAGCACTGTTCTCTCCTGGGAGAAGCTGCATCAGGAATTTTATATTAAATGTATGGCCTTGGTTAGGTTTCCCTCGTACGGAAGGAAAAATGTAACTCTATTTTTGTTGATTCTAATACTGTAAAGATTTGAAAACATCGAAAATCATGTTCGGCTTGGAAGGTTCTATTGCTAATTGTGTATAATTTGTTACTTGATAAGTTTCTTTACCTGAGGCAGCTTTCTGTTTTTATACAATTTAAAGCAATTTCTGTCACAATAGCAAAGAACAGTCAATGTCAGTATTTGTACTTGTAGAAATCTAAATCGAAGGGGAAACGAAACCATTTCAAATGGGGCAGAGTTGCAAAATTATTATTATGAGTGTCAATTTACTCCAAAGTTGGTCTTTTATGAAATGCCTTTAAACTTACATTTTCATTCCATCTGTAGATTTTTTTTATCTTTATGAAACATCTGATTTATATTTTACTGAAATGTAGAGCAGTAGCCTTGTTGATAGACAAAACAGATGGCATGTAAAAAGGTAAATTGTATCGGTGTCTGTTTGTATAGCTTATTTTGTAGCCTTTGTACCTGTACAGAATGGCAGTTTGACGTAAGAAGGATATCCTGACTGTACTAATTAACAGAGCAACAGTCCTGTATTTATGAGTTACCTTTTTAGTCGGTCACTTAAATGCTGTACATTTTAGCAGAAAATAAATTATGATGAGCCACTGACAGACTTAAAAGTGTGTATGGACTCTGTTTTCATCTCATGCTTATCCAGACTCGTACTTTCTTTCTTGAATGGATCTATTACAGCCAACAGATTTTCGAACGCGTTATGGTTGGAAACAATCTTGTAGAGTGCAGGGACTACTGAATAGACAAACGGATGCTTTTGAGTGTAGAGGATGGATACATTTAGCTGGAAAACACTAACATGTATCTAATGCAACAGCACAGCGGCCTTGGCAATAAAAATGAACCTGACTACAAATATTAAGTATAGTGTGCTCGAGCCAAAGGAAGTACCTTTATTTTTTAGACCATATAATCCTGCGTTACAAACATTACAAATCAGTAAATATGAGCTGGATGTGTGTCAAAGAAATTTCATATTTCCTTATGCTTTATCTGTAAACCTTTAACCATTCCTTAAATGATGAACTAATCGACTTTAATCCAAATGGTCTAAACTAATGTACAGAGATCAAACCATTTTTAGGATAATCCAATTAAATTCCAGTTCATCTTCCATTTTCCAATGGGTTTACACACATAAGAATGTATCTGTCACTGATATTAGTGCCGACTTCATAGGTCAGCGCTAATAATCCAACAAGAGAGCACTGTTCTCTCCTGGGAGAAGCTGCATCAGGAACACTTTGCCTCCATCAGTTCTGCTCTTTGGGCCTCTCATTTGAATTCTACAGGGCTCACTTGATTGAGTCCTTGAGTGCCTGTTACTTCCCTCTTATCTAAAGAGATTTAACATGCCCTGTCTCTCTCTTTACTTACTTTCTGCTTTGCTGAGTGCATGGTCAATAAATTGAGCTCCAGGGTAGAGAAACTCCGAGAGGTTTAAAGTAGCTAAGTCTTTTGCCTCCACTCCATAGTAATCAATGTTCAAGCCCAGGTAGCATTAGCAACATTATTCCATTTCACCTCTGCCGCGTTGAGAACGTTTCGTTCCTTGTTTCTGAAGTTGATGGCAATCTAGAGTTGTCTTCCATCGAACCAAATACTTTAACCTCACTTGTATCTCTTTTACATGTTAATCTGTTTGACATAGTGTTGCTAGTAGCATTACTATCTTTTTCACTAATTTAGACATGGACCAGATATATATACACTGCCATTCAAAAGTTTGGGATCAGTAAGATTTTTAATGTTTTTTAATGGAGTCTCTTGTGCTCATCAAGGCTGTGTTTATTTGATCAAAAATACAGAAAAACTAATATTGTGAGGTTATTTCAATTTCTAATATTGGTTTTCTGTTTTAATATACTTTAAAATATAATTGATTTCTGTGATCAAAGCTGAATTTTCAACATTACTCCAGTCTTCAGTGTCACATGATCCTTCAGAAATCATTCTAATATGCTGATTTATTATCCGTGCTGGAAACTGATACTTTTTCTGGATTCTTTTATGAATAAAAAGTTAAAAAGAACAGCATTTATTTAACATTAAAATCTTTTCTAACAATATGAGTCTTTACCATCACTTTTTTGAATTTCTGAAGGATCATGTGACACTAAAGACTGGAGTAATGATGCTGAAAATTCAGCTTTGCTTCACCAGGAATACATTATATTGTAAAGTATAGTAAAATAGAAACTGTTTTTTTAAATTGCAATAATATTTCACAAAATAACGTTTTTTTCTGTATTTTTGATCAAATAAATACAGCCTTGAGCACAAGAAACTTCAGTAAAAAATATTAAAAATCTTGCTGATCCCAAACTTTTGAACGGTAGTATATATATATAACTCTTCTCTCACACACACACACACACATATACAGGTGCATCTCAATAAATTAGAATGTCGTGGAAAAGTTAATTTTAGTAATTCAACTCAAATTGTGAAACTAGTGTATTAAATAAATTCAGTGCACACAGACTGAAGTAGTTTAAGTCTTTGGTTCTTTTAATTGTGATGATTTTGGCTCACATTTAACAAAAACCCACCAATTCACTATCTCAACAAATTAGAATATGGTGACATGCCAATCAGCTAATCAACTCAAAACACCTGCAAAGGTTTCCTGAGCCTTCAAAATGGTCTCTCAGTTTGGTTCACTAGGCTACACAATCATGGGGAAGACTGCTGATCTGACAGTTGTCCAGAAGACAATCATTGACACCCTTCACAAGGAGGGTAAGCCACAAACATTCATTGCCAAAGAAGCTGGCTGTTCACAGAGTGCTGTATCCAAGCATGTTAACAGAAAGTTGAGTGGAAGGAAAAAGTGTGGAAGAAAAAGATGCACAACCAACCGAGAGAACCGCAGCCTTATGAGGATTGTCAAGCAAAATCGATTCAAGAA